CCGTTTCACGTCTGATCATTTTCTTTTTTGGAAATGATCCACTGCATTCCGGCAAAGAAATATTATAGTGGGTTAAAGCAGAAAAGATGTGTACAATATTAATTATAGAAAATTAGATTATATAGAAGATTCAGACGAAGTGAATAGTTTTGGTCATAGTTACCATCACGGAATGGGAGTTGAAAAAGATGAACATAAGGCATTCATTAATTATCAAAAATCTGCAAAAATGGGAAATGCTAATGGAGCATTTAATGTTGGATATTGTTATCATCATGGAATTGGAGTTGAAAAGGACGATCACAAAGCATTCATTTATTATCAAAAATCATCTGATATGGGTCACGAAGATGGAACGTATAGTCTTGGCCACTGTTATAGAAACGGTATTGGAATTGAAAAGGACGAACATATGGCATCCATTTACTATCAAAAATCAGCAAAGATGGAAGTATTTGATGAATTTGGTTATAAAAGAAATTTTGAGTATGGAAAATGTGCAAATTGCAACCGACATAACACATCGCCAGCTTGGTGTCAAACATGTGACTCTTGGAAGACAACGCAAGGATGGACAAGTGGAAATAAGGATATCGATAATTGCATTAAAGAACTTCAACTTAAAGCTACAAAATACGGAGATGTAATCGAATGGATTCCTTTTAATAGATTATATAACATTCAAAAGGTTGGTAAAGGAGGGTTTGGCTCAGTGTTTTCAGCAATGTGGTTAGATGGTAAAAGAATAGTTTCAGGTGAAAAGGAGAAATATACTCAATCACGTACATCGTTATGTATAGTTGCACTTAAGACATTACCTGACTTACAAAAGAATTTTTTAGAAAAAGTAAGTTAAAATAATTTATTTATGACTTAATATAAATAAATTATTAACATCATAAATTTATTTATTTGACAAGTTTAAAAATTATGTAGAGTGTAGATTGGCGGGTAATGATCTTGAGGTGTATGGACTAACTCAAAATGCAGTTAATAATGAATATCTGATGGTATTTCAATATGCAAACAAAGGAAGTCTTCATAAATTTTTATTATCTAGTTTTAGCGCGCTTAATTGGAAAAGTAAATTAAAGCAACTTGTTGAAATATCAAGAAACTTATCGATAGTTCACAAAGCAAAATATGTTCACGGAGGTCTTCATAGCGGTAATATATTAGAACATCAATATCTTAACGGAAATCTAAGATCTTATATTGCTGATCTAGGATTATCTAGAAAAAATGATGAATCTGATTTAGATGGCATTTATGGCGTTTTACCTTATGTTGCCCCTGAAGTATTAAATGAACGATCATATACAATTGCAGCAGATATTTATAGTTTTGGTATTATTATGGCCGAGATGTCTACGGGAAGACCTCCTCATTACGATGTTGAGTATGATGAGGCGTTAGCTATTCTAATATGTTGTAAAGGATTACGTCCTGAATTTGCTAAAGACACTCCTGAGTGTTATGCCAAATTAGCAAATCAATGTATGAATGCTATTCCTTCGAATAGACCAACTGCATCGAATATACATGAAGAATTATCGAAATGGTATCGGATATTAGATAATAGTATTGCAAAAGATAAAAATGAATTAGCAATATTAAAAGCATTCCAGTCTGCAGATGCAATTATTCCAACGTTATCAATAGAATTACCAAATTTTCCTAAAGATAAACTTACTAGTAAACTGCTTAACTTTAAAAACCTTTCTAACTTAGTTGAAAAAGGTACTACCATAGACAACGTCCAATTCTTTAAACCTATAGTTAAGAGTAGCATTGATCTCACTGCTGTTACGGAGCTTATATCAATCAATGAACAAAAAGATAAAATTGACAGCTTATTAGAATCACAATATGGTTCGTCTCATTCCGAAAATGAGAAGGAATCTAATGAAAACGGTGGAAATGATGAGAATAATGATGATGGTGGGAATGGAAGCGTAACTGATAACTCTGAAAATATTATAGTTACATCAAGTTGCCGAGCTGTAAGTAAAGAAAACCAAGAGATTTTTCAAGATTTTGTCATTGTTGTTTCTATCTGTGCAAATGTTACCCCCGTTGACAATAAAAATTATTCGAAAGTTTTAAAATTTTCTGTTGATATACAAAAATGTGCAACTGGGTCTATGCTTAGTGAAAAATCATCGCTTCACAAGAATGATTTTGGCTATTTTCTCGATTCCGTTGTTATTAAAGTTTCACCAGTTCCACGCCAAAATCATAGTACAACACGTACGATAGCAAGTAAGGTTGAAACATGGCCACAGAAACCCAGACAGACCATTAAGGTTTCAACAATTCGCGAAACAAGCAAAGGAATCAACAGACAAGTCAGTGGAACAAGAATCAAGGTGACAGGTGCTTATAATAAAAAGAATGCACATAATATAGATAATCAAGTCAGTGGAACAGGAATCCAGGTGACAGATGATTATAATACAAAGAATGCACTTAATACAGATGGACAAGTCAGTGGAACAGGAATCAAGGTGACAGATGATTATAATACAAAGAATGCACTTAATACAGATGAACAAGTCAGTGGAACAGGAATCCAGGTGACAGATGATAATAATACAAAGAATGCACTTAATACAGATGAACAAGTCAGTGGAACAGGAATCCAGGTGACGGATGATTATAATACAAAGAATGCACTTAATACAGATAGACAAGTCAGTGGAACAGGAATCCAGGTGGCAGGTAATTATAATATAAAGAACGTATTTAATACAGAAAAAATGTCATATGGGTGGAAGATGAGGCTCGACGGATGTTTGACAACTGGATCGCGCTGGTCATATACTCGTGAAGATGGCAGCTATACAAGAAATTTTATTTCAGGTAATCACACTGGTGAATGGCACATTCTAAACTTGATGAGTGGATTTACTATAGAAATTACACAGGTAGCACGTTTCGAATTCAAAAATAAGAATTTTTTTAATTTTGGTTTGAAACCTAAGTTGGTAAAGCCATGCCCTAAGATAGCTCATATATTGAAAATATCCTTTGATAATATTGATAATTTTGAAAGATATTATGCAAAACTTGATAAAATATACTATGAACAAAATGATCTAATTTATGATTTAAAAAGTAAAGACTTTCATAAAGAAGACACACAAAAATATGCAGGCATAAATGATTTTACGGTTACCCGTACATTTTCAATGCAAACAGTTTAAAGTTTTGTATGGAGACCACCAATGATATTGTTTCTTTTGTCACATTTATTATTGTCAATGTACAGAGCTTCTTTATCTTGTAATATGTAATTTTTTAAAGCCCAACACAGGCTTATAATTGTGACCTATCAGATTCTTTTTTTTTGTTTTCTTTTCACCCCTTTAGTATTAGTTTTATTATTAGTATTTTTTTTTGTTTTCTTATGATAAAATGTTATCAGATTGGTAGTATCCTATTGTAGGATGTTGGTTTGACAAAGCCTTCTGGGATAGTTAAGTTTCTTTAAAACTTAGCATGATCTATCTTTTGTAGATTCATCTGCCCAGTGTGGTTAGTTGCTTGTAAATGATTTCACTAGTTGAAATCAAAATTTCTTCTTTACATTTTCAAATAATCAGTCTAGATAATAGCTGGTCAATAGGCTGCTGGCTATAAACAGATTTGATTTTAGAAAAATATGTTACATATCAGTTATTTTATTAATAAATTATTTAAATATCATTATTATAATTAGTATATTATTTAAGAAATATAAAGAAGATTTTATTGTACAGGCTAATTAATAAATAATTTTATCTAGTTTATATTATATTATATTGATATAATAAATATTATTTGTATAGTAACTGTTGATAATTAAGAAATTAATATATTGGTTTAAAAGAATGTAGAATATATTTTAGATTTATTAATCATTATTAAAAGCAATTTAGGCCAATAATATTTTGAATGATTTTTTGTAATTTTAGATTATTTACTAATTACTTAATAATTAGTTAATTATTTTTTAAAGGATAAATAACTAATATTATTAATATTCTAATTAATTTACAAATATTATCTTTCCAATAATATATAAATTTTATATGATATATTACTGTTTAATATTTCATTAGATGGATATTTATATTATATGTACTAATTTTATATTTATTAAATTTATTTATTTTAAATAAATTCTATTTTAAAAAATAAAATTAAATGATAATATATAATTAATATTTATTATCACTTTTATAATCTTTTTTTAGTTTTTTTACTTTTAGCACTCCTTTCTTTTATTCTCTTCCCTTTTTTTTACCTTGAACCCTTTTTTTTTATCTGCATGCTCACTCTCAGCCTCACCTCCATCTTTTTTCTTACTATTGGATATATATAATTAACATTCATTATCACTTTCACAATCTTTTTTTAGTTTTTTTATTTTTAGCAATTCTTCCTCTCTTTCTCTTCTCTTTTTTACCCTGCATGCTTTTTTTACCTGTAGACTCACTCTTAGCCTCATCTCCATCTTTATTCTTACTATTGCCTTTCTCATTATCATTATTACTGCTGGTGTAGTTGAAGTTAATAGTAGTTGTTGCTACTAATATCTAACTCAAAGAGCAAAGTAAACTAGGGTCATATCAGGTAAGCAACTTGATACTTTGTTCAAAGGAAAGTATTTTTACAAAAACACTTGCTAATCATTCCTTTATTTTTCTTTTGTTTCACTTATATTCAATTTAACTTTTTAATTACATCATATTTTTTTTATTTTTTAATTTTAAAAGGTGAGGCCATACCTCTAACTTTATTGAAATTCAATCGAGTTCTTTTACAAGAAATACATACAAGAAAGAAATTATATTTGAACCTTATATCCAGAGGATACTTAAGACTAGAGACTCAGACACAATGTTACAATACATAATAACATAATTATCTGCGGCCTAAACCTACCAGAGTGGC